CGAGGCCGACGTGCAACTTGGGGCCCTTCCGGGGGGGTCCCCGCGAGACGCAGCACCCCGCGCCTTGGAAAACACGGGCTGGTGAAACAAAACTAGGAGCAGTCTGCACAATTTTCCTTTAATAAAAAATAGAATAAATAAGGAAGTCCCTGATTAACCTAAAAGCAAACAAACCCACTGCCTCTGACCAGTTCGGTCTCATACCGACCCTATCTATGTAGGCTGCGGAGACGAAATCTGGCTGCCGAGACTAAATCTTTACTGCAGCGGATAGCGCCCAGTGTCGCCTGCGAAGCAGCTAATGGGGTAACCAGGAGCAATCCTCTGCGCCACCAGGGCTCCTTTTACTGACGATTTTTGTTTGTGTGTGTAAGATGCACATTTAGAGAATGACAAAATAGGGGCCGTGCGTGTGGTTCATTTTAAGTCAAATATGTCACAAATCGGGGACTAACTACACTTTCGCAGCGTCCTTCGGGCTATAGTGAGCCTTCTGGTCCTTTACTTATGGCTTCTCGCTCTGAGTTATAATTTATATGCTTCCACAAGTGTGGATCTTGCCCCCTCCCCCCCCCACACACACAAAAGTTCTCCCTAAATGAGAAAAATCTCAGACACGTAAATTCTGTTTACTCGAGAGGGCTAACAGCTATGAGGGTGTAGACATCATTTGGGATTGTCCCTACTGACCCTGCTCCTCCCTACGATGTTGTGTAGAGCTGTTGGCCAGACCCCCTCTAAGCCCTCTCCAGCACCCAGATTCCAAGGTGTTAAGATCCTACCCCCTGACCCCCTGACCCAGTTTATAGTGGGAGATAGGGAAGAGGGTAAGTAATCCTGGGTCTAATCTAATGAAACCCAGTGTGAATTTGGACTCTCCCTTACTGGCTGTGTGACTTGCAACAATTTACTTAACCATTCTGATGTTCCCTTTGTTGGCTACAAAATAGCGAAGAATGATACTGTTTCATAGGGCGTTGTACTGTGGGAGAAAGCCGGAGCTTGCGTCTCTTGTAAACAGGTACAGTCTCAGAAATCCAAAGAGGCGTTCTACCCTATCCTATAGGATGGCTATGAGTCGGCATCCACTCGATGTCAGTGAGCTTGACTCTTTTTTGGTTGTAGTAGTGAATGAAAAATGTATGGACTATACTTCACACATGTCAATGACCTAGCTTTCTAAGATTCTCCCCTCCCAGCTTGTCTGATTGGAGGGGGTGTTCTGACCACCCCAAAAGTGGGCCAAGAAGCCTGTGGGGTTAAGTGGGACTTGGAGGGTGGATGGTGTCTTGGAACTGAAAGCCGAGAGGCTTCAGAAGGGGCTGCCAGCTCCCACCGATGACTAGAGACCTTACCAGGTATTGGACATTGGGGTCGGCACTCTATATGCCTCATCTCACATAAGCCTTACAAACAAGTATTTGCACCATTTTTAAGACAAAGACTCCCTGCAAGGGGATCCTGGTGTGAGTCAAGAAAAGGAATTTGATGGTGAGATGCTTGAAGGCAAGTCCGGTCTTTTCTGTCCAGCACTATATATCCAGCACCTAGGACGGTTTCTGACTCACAATGGGGATACCATCAACATTGGTTAAATCAATTCATTCATGGAGCCCTGATGGCTTAGTGGTTACACATCGGGCTGAGATCCACAAGGTCCAAAGTTTGAAAGCACCAGCCCTCTGTGGAGAAAGCAGTTACTACAATCTCGGAAACTCACAGAGGCAGTTTTACCCTGTCCTGTGGAGATGCATTATTGAGGTTGAGGGAAAAGGGGTGACTGGTCAAAGGGCCTTCAGCCCTTGCTCAGTATGCCCGAGGGTTTCATACCCCTCTCCATTTCCTGGAGCTCCTGGAGGCAGCCTTGAACTGGAGGGGAGGAGTTTTGTGTAACCAGTTATCAGGGAGTCAACGCTGATTCCTGGCAAGTCCGTAAGTGTCAGAGTAGAACTGGGAGACTTTCTGCGGCTGATGTTTTGCCCAGTAGATATTCCAGCCTTTCTTCCAAGGCCTGAACTCGAAACTCCAACATTCCGTTAGGAGGGGGCACATTAGCCATGTGCACCACTCTGGCGCTCCACGTGCGGTGCAAGGAGGCTTCAAAATGTTTATTTAAAGATAATGGAAGTTTCTAAGAACTTTTGGAAGTGCCCCCCCGCCCCCCACCCACTCCACTCCTCCCCGAGCTGATTTGAAATCCCCTCCTGAATCGGTCTTGACCTTTAGAGAGGATGCTCCTGTGGATGCTCCTCCCCCACCCCCCACCCCTCCCCCGGTTTCCCGCTTATTAGAAGAGTAGGAGTCTGGGGCCAAGCTGACACAGGAGCATCGCAGCTTCCTTGATTGTAAAAAGCAACAATGGTACTTACCTCATGCGATTAAGAAGGACACACACAAAGCTCCTAGTTGGACTAAATAAAAGCTACTTGTTTTATAATAAGGTTGATTTCAAAGCAGCGGTAGATCCAGCTGAACAAGGCCTGGCCAGGCTTCCAAAGGCGCCTCCCCTGTACCTGCGGCTCCGCTGTACCGGCAGGTGCCACCAGGCGGCGCGCTGCAGTTTACACGTTGTCCCCAAGCGCTGGGTCTGTCCCAGAGGCACGCTGGCCACACCTGCCGACCTGCAAGAAGTCCTGCCTGGGGACAGCGAGAGTGGGTGTGGACCCCGAAGGCTGGGGACTCAGGAGGAGGAGGCTTTGAGGCTGTTCAGTG